CACCAGTAGACTGTCCTATCAGCCTCTTGCCAAGCTGACATCACCACCATCATAGTCCAACTATGACTGAGTCACCAGTTGACTGTCCTATCAGCCTCATGCCAAGCTGACATCACCACCATCATAGTCCAGCTATGACTGAGTCACCAGTTGACTGTCCTATCAGCAGCCTCTCAAGCTAGCGAAACCATCTTTCAAAACATATTAAGAATACCCCTAGGCCAAAAACATACTATCCGATTATGTTTTAATATTATCTAATCATTACATAGGTAAAAATATTTCAGAAATTGCAAGTTGTCCCCTTGATTTATTACAATTACTATGGATTACAGTTATTAAAAATGTAGGTGTAATATAAGCACATTTCAGAATTTATATTTAATATTTAGCTACAGCTAATGTTTACAATTACTTCTTAACAGCTGAATGAATGAATTTAAGTAAGAATGGAGGGACATTAGAACGGCAGAATGTTAGATGGGTCTATGTATACACTTCTTTACCCTTTGAAAAAAAGTATGTTGTTCTTTTGTTCTGTCGGTCAGATACAATGGGCTTGATATCTGCATTTTTAAGGCCTGTCAATTCAGCCAAAAAAAATGTATCTAGGTCTCTCTTGGTCTGCCTCTTCCCCTCTACAGATCTGTCAGCATGGTGCTTGAAACCTGGCAGAGCCCAATTTTCTCCAGGTGACCCTTAGTCTGTATCCTTATGGATAACCTTAGCAGTCTACACCACAGGAAGGAAAGGTTGGCTTGTCTGGTCATGGGTCAGCAGCAGTAGTCTACAAGTTTTGATTTGTCATTCTCCTTGGGGAGCCAGCTGCCACCCCCCTCCCCCTCCCAACAAGGCTGGCTGGAGGCCTGGCATGACCTCACCTTGCAAACTGACACATCCAGTATAAAAGTGAAATACCATTTTCCACGCCTTTAGGCGTATAGGGCATATAGGGCTAGACCTATATTTTATAGACCAATTGGCACAAGATGGATGATGTGGTCAGCATCACGCCGGCTACCTTTACTTTCCAGGACTGCACCCGGTACCCACTCAAGGATAGGTCGACTTTAAAGACAAGGTTATTTTTGAAAAAAGCTCGACTCGGCCAGGAAGCAAACCCACACCTTCCGATCCGCAGGTGAGCGTCCAGCCGCTCCGCCACAGTGACTCCCCACAACCAATATTATTATCATTTAAATTTGGCGACTGCTAATTTTTTGTTGTTGTGTGGGGGGGGGGGGGGGGGGGGGGGGCGGAGGAGGACATACAATTGCACACATTCGCAAAGTCACTTAAAACATGGCAAACCAAATATTTGAATTATTGTTTTCTTCTACAAAAAACACAAAATTTAGGCAAACTCAGAAACACATTAGTGAATGTGATGATCTTACCTCTCTCTCAAGAAGACACTCAAAATGTTCCAGAAAATCACACATGTCTGGGTTAGTCTCAAAGTCGTTGAAATGATTGTTGACCCACAGTAAGACAACACGCGTCACCTACAGAGATTCAGATGCATATTTAAACACAGAAGTTCCTGCATGTCACCAGAGAAGTTATTTTAACAGATAGCTGTGAACCCTGGTTTCCCTGCTTGGGTAACAGAATTTTGTAGAGGTTAAAAATAGACCCACTTGCCTGTCACCACAGACAGTGCAGGTAAAGACTTGTTTTCTGTCCCTTGACAGAAAAAAATCTACAACTTTAAAGAGAATTCGAACCTGGGTCTCCCGCGTGAGAGTCCAGTGTTAACCGTTCAGCCAGCGGCTCCTGAACAGAACAGCAACACACACAACTTATGCCAAGTCTTTCTATTCTTTGCTATCTCATGCAGCTCTCCATATGTCCTCTAATCTTTCTAACTTCATTCTCCAGCTCCCTTCTCCATGTGTTCTTTGGCCTTCCTTTATTCCTATGTCCCTGTGGGTTCCAATGCAAAGACATTCTAGTTATATTGTTCTCCGGTTTCTCAATGTGTGTCATATCCAACACCAGCGTCTTTTCTTCACCTCTTGGTCAACTAGAGCATGGTGTGCTATGATACTGATTCCTAAAAATCATACACCAACTTTCCCTATGCGGGTTCCACGGCAGCATATAATAGGGGGAAAAGAATAGAACCACTGTGCCTTAGGCAAGCATGTCGCCGAGGGCAATTAATTAGGGATCTGCTGAAATCAGATGTGTTGGGCCGAAACATGCAGATTTCCCAGCTGAGCTGTAAACCACAAAACAACATGCCAACCACCCTTTAAGGACTAATGCAGAGGAACCATTGACTTACACTGGTTTTCAACTCATCATTCTTGAACCACTCTAGCAGATATCTAACCAGCTCCAAGGGACCGCTGAGGAATGTGCGGTAGGTCAACAGAAAGTCATCGACATAGCTGGGATCAATGGTGGAGTGACTCTCCACAAGATGCTGCATCAGCCGTTCACTTGTGCCCTGTTTGGATTTAGATCAATCAGTATCAAAATTTACGGTCTGTGGAATATCTGGATTGTTATTACATACAGAAGGTTAAGGCTACTACTAATATTCTTCTTCTTTCTTTCTCAACGCCTGGAATGCCTCGCTGCTTCAGGGCAGGAAGAGATCTCTAGAACAGGCCCTTCTGTTTGCATCATATGAAGTAATTTTGAGTGTTTCTGATATTTCAGCAGTCCATATTCTGTATGGTTGACCTCTGGCTCTGTTATTGCTGTATCAGTATAACACAGCTCTCTATGGTGCCCTGTCGGATGAAAATCTTGTCACATGGCCAAACCATTTTATCTGTTGTCTACCTATAAAGTTCAGCATTGGTTTTGTGCCGACTCTCCTCCTGTTATCATCGCTCCTAAGCCAATCTTTCCTCGCTACACCTAGCATAGTACATAAAACATTACACTTATGTCGTGACTATTTTCCTTCTGTCTTCTAAAGACAGTGTCCATATTTGACACTGATAGCATAGTGTTATGTCATATATTAATAATAATGCTACTACTACTGCATCTGCTGTTGTTTCAAATACAATGTTTATTAGTGATGATGCTACTGATACTGCACCTACAGTTGTTTCAAACACAATGTTTATTAGTGATGATGCTACTGATACTGCACCTACAGTTGTTTCAAACACAATGTTTATTAGTAACGAGGCTACTAATATTGCACCTGCTGTTGTTTCAAATACAATGTTTATTAGTAATGAGGCTACTGATACTACACCTGCTGTTGTTTCAAATACAATGTTTATTAGTAATGATGCTACTGATACTGCACCTGCTGTTGTTTCAAATACAATGTTTATTAGTGATGATGCTACTGATACTGCACCTACAGTTGTTTCAAACACAATGTTTATTAGTGATGATGCTACTGATACTGCACCTACAGTTGTTTCAAACACAATGTTTATTAGTAACGAGGCTACTAATATTGCACCTGCTGTTGTTTCAAATACAATGTTTATTAGTAATGAGGCTACTGATACTACACCTACAGTTGTTTCAAATACAATGTTTATTAGTGATGATGCTACTGATACTGCACCTACAGTTGTTTCAAACACAATGTTTATTAGTAACGAGGCTACTGATACTGCACCTGCTGTTGTTTCAAATACAATGTTTATTAGTAATGATGCTACTAATATTGCACCTGCTGTTGTTTCAAATACAATGTTTATTAGTGATGATGCTACTGATACTGCACCTGCTGTTGTTTCAAATACAATGTTTATTAGTAATGATGCTACTGATACTGCACCTACTGTTGTTTCAAATACAATGTTTATTAGTGATGATGCTACTGATACTGCACCTGCTGTTGTTTCAAATACAATGTTTATTAGTGATGATGCTACTGATACTGCACCTGCTGTTGTTTCAAATACAATGTTTATTAGTGATGATGCTACTGATACTGCACCTGCTGTTGTTTCAAATACAATGTTTATTAGTGATGATGCTACTGATACTGCACCTGCTGTTGTTTCTAATACAATGTTTATTAGTAATGAGGCTACCGATACTGCACCTGCTGTTGTTTCAAATACAATGTTTATTAGTAATGATGCTACTGATACTGCACCTGCTGTTGTTTCAAATACAATGTTTATTAGTAATGAGGCTACTGATACTGCACCTGCTGTTGTTTCAAATACAATGTTTATTAGTGATGATGCTACTAATACTGCACCTGCTGTTGTTTCAAATACAATGTTTATTAGTGATGAGGCTACTGATACTGCACCTGCTGTTGTTTCAAATACAATGTTTATTAGTGATGATGCTACTGATACTGCACCTGCTGTTGTTTCAAATACAATGTTTATTAGTGATGATGCTACTGATACTGCACCTGCTGTTGTTTCAAATACAATGTTTATTAGTAATGAGGCTACTAATATTGCACCTGCTGTGGTTTCAAATACAATGTTTATTAGTAATGATGCTACTGATACTGCACCTGCTGTTGTTTCAAATACAATGTTTATTAGTAATGAGGCTACTGATACTGCACCTGCTGTTGTTTCAAATACAATGTTTATTAGTAATGATGCTACTACTATTGCACATGCTGTTGTTTCAAATTAAACTGTTTCTACTTCTTTTACTGTTGCTGCTATTATTAGTACTATTGTTACAAATACATACAATTGACTACTGCTGTTGCTACTACTACTACTAATACTACTAGAGCACTGCTGTAGTTTCAAATATATATGCTACTGTGCATATATTTGACTACTGCTGTTACTGCAACTAATAACTTACTACTGCTGCCACACCAGAGCTGCTATTTCATCAAAAGATTGCTGCTGCTAATTGTACTCCTGGGGTTACTGCTGCTATAGCCACTGCTATTGTGCAACAACCTCCCTTGCTGCTGTTACAACTTGTGTTTCTGCTATTACTTCTACTACTGCTGCCACACATGCTGTGGCTGTTTCAAATGCAAAGATATTCTGCTAAATTGTCACAGAACAAGAAATTCAACTTACCCTGATAACAATGTGCCCTTTCCTGGCTCCTCCATCCAGTTCTCGGTGTTCCGTGACCATCACAACTCTCCCTTTCTCTTCATGTTTCTTGATATTCTCCTCGCCCTAAATATATGAAATTCCAATTAACCCTTTTAGTCTGAAATAACCATCCCTTCAACATGTCTGTTAGTCTTGAGAAGTTAAGACAATGAAATCGTGAGACAGATGAAGTTGAAAAAAAGTCACTGATATAAAGTAAACATGTGATAGAAGAGAGGCTCAGAAGAAGATAGGAAATGTATATAATATGTATAAAGTAAAGAGACCCTTCTCCATACCGTCAGGCATATTAGGCATATAGCGCTACACATATTTTATAGACCAATCGGAACTCGGTGGGTTATGTGGTCAACATCACGGTTGCCGCCATCACTTCTCAGGATATTACCTTGCACCCATTGAAGGCAGGGTGAGCTCCTGGGAGACAGTGACCATTTTTGTTAAAAGTCCATTCAAATCTGAACCCATGACTTTTGGATCCAGAGGCAAGCATCTAGCAGCAACATCACAGTGACTCATAGTATGTATAGATTAACTAGTAAAAGTATGGTGAAGTCAAGACCATCTCCATCTGATGGGCCATACTCCTGACATCACCAAACCAGGCTAACGATACGTTAAGTTTTCACTCTGAGTCACCCACAAAAATTATAAGAATAAGCTTGAGAATTAAACATATACAGACACCACCTATTTCATCACTGAAACATACGTATAAACTGCATGAAACAATAAGCATAAACAATTTTTTTTAAATGTTTGCAGGCTAGAATTTTCGTACTTTATGTTTCCATGTTGTCATAATGTGTATAACTATATATTTTCAAGCTTATTACTATAATTTTAAACTTAACGTATTGTTAGCCTAGTTTGGTCCCTTAGATGGAGACGGTCTTGGCCTAGTTAGTGTACAAATAGTTAACACTGATAACATGAGATAATTTAATATTGGCAAACAATAATAATGTTGAATCATCTGGAATGTATTATTTATACTCTATAACTGGCTGGGTTGTGAATCCTATGCAAAAAAAAAAATAAAAAAACATATTAACTGTTGGTTCTTTCCCAATATCTCCCCCCAGGATGACATCACAGGACAGTCCAATATTTTCAAGGGTGGTAAGAACGGGTTTCCCAGCTTTCTGATGCTTTTAACCACCCTAAAACATATCAAACTGGGCCTAACCTTGACCCACCTATGTCCCATGAGAGAGTGCAGCCTAGGTCCCACAACTGCATGCAGCCTAGGTACACGACTGCATCCAGCCTATCTAACACCCCCTAAAATATCTGACTGTCTGTTTGTGAAGGGTGGTGGGTAATGATATAGAACCTGTTAATAAAAAGCACTGGTGTTCAGGTCCCTCGAGCCACGATAGGGCATTGGTTTACTGAAGAGATGTTGGTGTACAGGAGTTCTTCTCAATCCTTCCCGGTCCCTAAACTATTGCTACTGGCTGTTTTGGTGACCCCAAACATACACTTGTTTTCATTAATTCTTCGTAACGTCAATGAATTTGTTTTTTTTTTCTGATGTTCTTAGGCGATTCCTGTGCATTCGACCCCAAAAAATGTTCACGACCCACAGGTTGCTTTTAAAATAGAATTTCAACAAGGTTATTAGTTATTTTGTTTTAGTGTGCCGGGGTGAAAGGGTCAACAACCTTAACTGTTCTACAAAAAGGTCTTTAGTAGATGCCCCATCATTATAGTTTATATTTAATTTGTCTTCAGTTTCTGCTCAACAGCAGTCATCCCCACTATCCAGACACCAACAGCTAGGGACAGGTGTACAGGTGACAAAATACCTGATGAAGAATCCTGTAGTAACTCGACTGGGCTATACAAACAAACTGGCAGTCATTAACGATAGTTCTCATAACCCCCTGATGGTATAACTTCTCCATGGTAGGGCTGATGCCAAAGCTGTCAAAACAGAAATATAAACTCAAATAGGTAAAAAAAAGAAAAAATTGTAAAGGACCCTTCTGACGCCTGTGACACATCAGGCATATAATGCTAGATTATTATAGAACAAAGGTTAAATTCAAGAGTACTGACTTCACTGCAGCAAACACATGACTTTCAGAGCGCAAGGCCGATTGACCGCTTTGACACAGGGACCCATATTTTTATAGACCAATCAGGACTAAGTCGATGGTGTTGTCAACTTCACATCACTCAGTTTTACTTCCCAGGAAAATACACCAGTACCCATTTTAGGCTGGGTTGATCTAGAAGCCAAGGTCGATTTTGGAGAGAGAGAAAAAAAAAGGTTTGGTGCCAATTTGAACCAAAGACTTTCAGACCACCAGGCACTACTCTACAGTGGCTCCAAAACTGTATAACTCAAGATAAATTCACATTCGTTCATAGGGTAAAATAAAATTAATTAAAAAAAATCAACTTAACATGATACTGATATTATGATTTATTGATTCTATGTTAGCCATTTTTCTCAACTGAATTAATCAATACAGTTCTTAAGAGCCATAGAGAGCAAGTCCTGATTTACTGCAGTCAATCACTGACTGACTTGACGTAACTAGGAAAGACCAACTAAGGAGTGATGATATCAGGAGAAGAGTCAGCACAGAACCAATACTGAACATTATAGGTAGACAACAAATCAAATAGTTTGGCTATGTAACGTGATTGGAATCAGACAGGACACCAGAGAGAGCTCTGTTATACAGATACAGCGGTAACAGATCCAGGTCCACCACGCAGAAGATGGACCGCAGAATTATCAGAGACACTGAAAAATAAAAGTGAACAACAAGGCCCGTTCCAGAGATCTCTTCCTGCCCTGACGCAGCGAGGTCTTTCAGGAGTAAAGTAAAGAAGAAGATGAATCACTGACTGCAGTAAATCTTGAAAAACCAAATAGAAGCTGCAGAGATGCGGTTTTGTAGAAGAATAAGATGATGGGGAAAAAAGAATAAAGATAAAAGGCGTAATGAAGGTATCTTGAAAGAAGGTAACTCACAGAAAGAACTGATTAACAATAAAAGAAGACAAAGATATACATTTTTAGTAGATTTAATGAATCAAGAAATGAGAAGACAATAGAAAAATTAGAAGGAAAGAAAGGCTGAGGGAGACAGGAAGTGAAGTTGTTGGGCATCATGGCATGGAAGAACATCTGTAACAGAAATGACTGACAGCAAACGAGACAGAAAGCTGCGGTCAGACATAACTGACCACATTTCAAGGAATAAAAAGAGGATACTAGTCTACTTGTTCATTCCATGTGTGTATGCATGTACATATATACAAGGTCTCCTTAAACTTACAACTGAGTTCTCTTCCAACAGGTCATATGTTGAACTGCTCGTAAGTCATATTTTCCCGCATATTATTCTCATTTAGGTTATAAAATTGTACCCACAAAAAATTTAAAATGCAATCTATGTACATATAATTAGACCCCGCTGCATTCTGGGCATAGGTTCCGAGAACTTTTTGACCCTGCCAAGGTAGTTATCTTTCTTCATTTACTATTTTTATTTACTCTCTCTCTCTCTCTCTGTGTGTGTGTGTGTGTGTGTGTGTGCGCACGCTTTTGCACATGTGGTTGTAAGGGCCGATGGCAGTAAGCTGCATAAGTCGTAAGTCTGGGAAAAGGTGTATTTTGTGTGGGTGTGCACTTACCTGCCTGAAATGATGGATGGATAAAAGAATGAATGATTGTACATGTGTATATATTTAATGAATAAAATAAAGCTTCTAACCTGTCACCCATCTGTAGTCTTTCCTTAACTCCATTAGGTCTTGTGATTTCAACTTCTCCATTCAGAATAACTGACCAGGAGTCAAGCTCTTCTCCATCTTTCATAACTATTGTTCCTTCTTTGGGAACAATAGCAAAAACAATCACCTCACACAGCAGTCGACGAGTGTGTTCTGTCATGTTGGAGAAAGCCTTTCCAGGAAATGAAAACAAGAAGAAATAAATGAATCAAGCCAACAATGGCTACCATACTCTTGACCTGCAAGAAAAGATCACTGCTCTTTTCCTCAGAACAGAACATAAACAACTGGATGTATAGGTTTTACTGCAGGACATGGTAACATACTTCAATGTCAGCTCAAAGGTTCTGGGTTAAAATCTGCACTGAGCATGACTTTTGGGGGGTTTTTAACTGGTCTTGGCTCTCAGGTTGATATAGGTCCTGGTAAGCAGAGGCAGCCTGCATGATGCTGACCACTTCTCCTGCCAATAAAACAATTATTTCAGCATCATATGTTTGAAGCGCTACTGGCATATAACAAGGAAAAGGGGGGGGGGGTGTCCTTTACACTATACAGGCAGCAATATCAAAGTCCCAATTTTGAGAGCATTCATCTTCCCTGTTTCAACATACAGAATAAAAATAGGTTCTCTGAGCTGACAGGCTACACAATGCTTAGAATACCATGGACCAAGAACAAAGTAAAACTGACATTCGAAACACAGAAGAAAACTAGCTCATAAATAGTATCTTATATTGGTGGTGGGATAGAGAGGCTTGAGCGGAGCATAAACGGACTATCAGGAAAGTGGGCTCCAAACATAAGTAACATCTTGAGCAGGAAATTGTAAAAGGCAGTGGATCTGATAAGGGACAACGCTTCTTTCAGGTCAACTGTGATGACAGTTCTGAAGAAGGCCTGCAACATGATGATTACAGGCTTCCATATTAATCAGCAAACTGCTGAACATGTTCAGTTACACATTGTGAATATGTGCATTTACAAAATAGCGAAGAACACAGGGCATGCCTTAGACAATGTCTCTACAAAATGGTAGGGGTAAAACAGGCAATCTCCTTGACAGACACATTTTCTGCAAAATGATGATGGTGGAAAGAACAGGGGAAGGGGGAGGACCATAGAAAATATCTTGACAGTTAAATAATGTATCATGGGTGTTTTGCTTAGTGTGATATGATGTTGATTCTTAAATCAGTAATCAGACAATGTGCCTACAAAACAGTAGAGGGACAAACAGGTAATCTCTTGACTGTCAGTCGATGTTTCTAAAAAAAAAAAAATGGGGGTGGTAACGGTGGGGAGACATTGTATTTGTTGATCCTTAGACAATGCATCTATGCAATTATGGGGGTGGGGGAGGGGGGGGGGGAAACAAGTAAACTCTTGACAGACAGTGCATCTACAAAATGACTGGGGGGGGGGGGGGGAATTTTGCACAGGAAATCTCTTGATAAGTAATTCTCAAAATGGTGAAAAAACACAATACATTCTCTTCATAGTCAATGTGAGTGTTTACTAACTGGTAAAAACACAAGACATTCTCTTCATAGTCAATGTGAGTGTCTACAAACTGGTGAAAAAACACAAGACATTCTCTTCATAGTCAATGTGAGTGTCTACAAACTGGTGAAAAAACACAAGACATTCTCTTCATAGTCAATGTGAGTGTTTACAAACTGGTGAAAACACAAGACATTCTCTTCATAGTCAATGTGAGTGTTTACAAACTGGTAAAAACACAAGACATTCTCTTCATAGTCAATGTGAGTGTCTACAAACTGGTGAAAAAACACAAGACATTCTCTTCATAGTCAATGTGAGTGTCTACAAACTGGTGAAAAAACACAAGACATTCTCTTCATAGTCAATGTGAGTGTCTACAAACTGGTGAAAAAACACAAGACATTCTCTTCATAGTCAATGTGAGTGTTTACAAACTGGTAAAAAAACACAAGACATTCTCTTCATAGTCAATGTGAGTGTCTACAAACTGGTAAAAAAACACAAGACATTCTCTTCATAGTCAATGTGAGTGTCTACAAACTGGTGAAAAAACACAAGACATTCTCTTCATAGTCAATGTGAGTATCTACAAACTGGTGAAAAAACACAAGACATTCTCTTCATAGTCAATGTGAGTGTCTACAAACTGGTGAAAAAACACAAGACATTCTCTTCATAGTCAATGTGAGTATCTACAAACTGGTAAAAAACACAAGACATTCTCTTCATAGTCAATGTGAGTGTCTACAAACTGGTAAAAAAACACAAGACATTCTCTTCATAGTCAATGTGAGTGTCTACAAACTGGTGAAAAAGCACAAGACATTCTCTTTATAGTCAATGTGAGTATCTACAAACTGGTAAAAACACAAGACATTCTCTTTATAGTCAATGTGAGTATCTACAAACTGGTGAAAAAACACAAGACATTCTCTTCGTAGTCAATGTGAGTGTCTACAAACTGGTGAAAAAACACAAGACATTCTCTTCATAGTCAATGTGAGTGTCTACAAACTGGTAAAAACACAAGACATTCTCTTCATAGTCAATGTGAGTTTCTACAAACTGGTAAAAAACTTTAGTACACGAACTTTAAAAGTTTCGCACCAATCCAGTACAAACATGGCCTAATACGAACATTATTCAACCACGTTAGAAAGATTTGCTTCAACGATACGCTACAGTCTGAAATAGAAACCCTAAAACAAACGTTAGTATTGAACGGATACCCAGTTGGTTTTATTAAGCGCCACTGCCAACCTCCTCAAACAACTACTACAGAAACGTCAGTCCCCAAACAGAAAGTCTACATACATCTAACCTATCGAGGGGATGATGTTATGAAACGGCTGTACGAGCTGCTTAAAACAGCAGTCAGCCAAACTTTCTACGCTGCTTTGCCTATTACCAGGTTTAAAACTAGCCCCGTGCCAACGCCCTCGGTGAAACAACCAGTGTCGACGTACGGCAAATCAAACTGTATCTACCAACTTAAATGTAGCTGTGAAGCTGCTAATGTGGGCAAAATGGATCGACGCCTGGAGAAACGAGACCCTGAGCACATTCTAGTATGGGTGGAAAAAAGCCATGCAAAATAATATTTAAAATGAGAATACTGGCCGCAAAGTTCACCCCTTTGCAATAGCATGCCCACAGTCGTGTTTGATCGTTGTTGAAATTGTACTTCAGTTATAAAGGATTCACTTATTTGCTTCATTTATGTAATTGTTACTGTAGTATGCACCTGACGAGATACAGTGAAATATGCCAGGCAATAAATTGTGCAACCTATTGTTTGTGTCTTCTTTGTTCAAATTCTCTTTATAGTCAATGTGAGCATCTACGAACTGGTGAAAAACAAGTAATCTCTTCAAAGATGATTCTACAAAACAGAGAATAACACAGGTTAGGCAGGCAACACACAAATATATCAAGATTACAATAATTTCCCTGAAAAGAAAAAGGCCTGTTCATCTAAGAGGCAGTTAAGTATGTGAGTCAACCTTTAAATGCTGTGTGAAGTTCAAAAGTATCTGAATGTCCTCCTCTGTGCGTTCAGACGGTTCCTTCTCTAAACAGTCCCGCTCTGCATCACGGATAGTGAAAGACTGAAAATCAATGCAATATTCATATAATATTGTAAATACATACAAATCACTGCAATATTCACATAATATTGTAAATATACATCACTGCAATATTCACATAATATTGTAAATACAAATCACTGCAATATTCACATAATATTGTAAATATAAATAACTGCAAAATGCTCATAAGAAAAAGCAAAATTAAAATCTATGCAATAATGCTCATAATTATCTAAATAAAAATATGTGCAAAATGCTGATAATTATAAAAATGTCCCCCCTGTGGGTTCCGGGGCCTTGTTATAGAGAAAACAAGAATAGACCCACTGCCTACTTAAAAGCTTGTTGTAAGAGTCGACTAATTGGGAGCTTCCTTTGAAGTCGGAGTTCATCTGCCTGGGAGGCAGGGAACCAGCAGTCTGCATACAAATGAGTCAGATCTGTAAAACGGACGCACATGCAACACTCAGGTTCTGGAACTGGACTACAGTCCAGAAGTGGATGAACAACCAGAATTTTCCGTCAAAGTCTGCAGCTGGTAAACGCAAAGAAGAAGAAGAAGAAAAAGAAGAAGAATAAAAAGAAGAAGAAAAAGACAAAGAAGAAAAAAAAACAAAGAAGAAAAAGAAGAAGAAGATATAACTGGAAGCCAATGCTATGTGATCATAATGTTTAAAATTAACACCTAGTTAATATGCTCATAACGAACTAAGAAAACGGAATATGCTCACAAGGATCTAAGTGTGTGTGTGTTGTGGGGGGTGTGGGGGGGGGGGGGGGGGGGGGGGGGGGGGGGCTTTGCTAATAGGCTCATAATGTTTTTTGTAAATTTTGAAATAAATATAAACAGTATTTAAGTGAATATAGATATAAATTTACATATACTAGTACACATGTGGATTATATAAATCTATAGATCTTGAAATAATATTGAATCTCTCTCCCTTCTTCTTCAAGATATAAATTTACATAAGTGCCCACAAAGATGATTTAAATTTATACTTGTTGAAATAATACTGAATCTCTCTTCCTGCTTCTTCAAGATATAAATTTACTAGTGCCCAAGTGGATGATTTAAATCTATACATCTTGAAACAATATTGAATCTCTCTCCCACCTTTATTTTTTGTGTGTATGGACACTTCTCTTCACTCATCTCTCCCCCTCCTTGTATGTATCCTTTCCTTTACTCATCCCCTCTCTGTATCTCTTCTTTCTTCTCTCTCACATGGACCCTTCCCTTAATTCACTTCTCTTTCATCCACTACCAACTCTTCCACACGTGTCTCCCTTCTCTTCTTCCTTCCCAGCCTCTAGACAATAAAAATGTTGAATTCTCACAACAACAACAAATGACGTTGGCATCACAAAGAAAATACCTCAGTTGACTCTGCATATCCTTCCTCATCATCCGAGTCGACCAGGCTCTCTGCCAGACCACTGAGATCCACATCCGGGGCATCTGGATCATCCAGAGATGTATGCATCACATCCGAACCAGAGTAAGCACTGGATGTATCACTGGACCTGGAGAATCTGTTGCCTGCATGATCCACACTCCCATGGGGCTGATAGTGGTCACTCACCCCCAGAAGATAGTGACTGCCATGTACTAAATCTTCTGACATCTTTAAATACACAAATATCAACAATCAGAGCTGAAGGGATGACAGGATCAGTACAATATTAGATTCATGTTATATTTCTTTCATGAGGTTTCCTGTGCCCAATTCCCCCCCCCCCCCCCCCCCCTTTTTCCTTCCTGGCTGGTGAACAGAAATGGGTGCTCTCATCAACCCAGAAAAGGCTGCTGGTCTATGGTGCTCTCTGGGCAATAGAAATGTAAGAGTTGATCTTCTGAGGCTCACAATTAAAAACAGTAACATCAAAAGAAAATGCAAACTGAGGTACCTGGGTATCATTTTTGATAGAAGCCGGTCCTTTAGAGATCATGTGGAGGTAGTTGTGAAGAAATGCCAAAAACGACTCAATGCTCTCAAGATTATAGCAGCAATGGACATGGAACAAAGAATGCTGTTCACAATGTTCCAGCATGTGATCCTGTCAGTGACAGATTATGGTCTTTGACTGCTTAACATATCAACGAGTCAGCTGATGAAACTTGAACGCATAAAGAATGAAGCTATGCGGGTAATTCGGGGATGTACAAGAGATACCCTGGTAGTATGTATGCGATATATACCTGCACTGCCTACTATTGCAGACAGGCTAAAGGTTCTGCAAGCAAAGTCATATCTCAGAGTCGTTGCAGACAAGAAGAACCTCTAGCACGAAGCCCTGGGAAGAGCTAAGGGTCACAGACTGAAAACAGGAAGGTCTTGGATGGCACAAGCCAAAGACACAATTACACATTTTTTGCAGTCTTAATAAATTTGGTTGAGGAGAGGAGTGAGTCAAAGTGCCCAAGCAAGTTTCAGATTTGTGTTGGGTTCTTAACACTTTAGGTCGTAAGTGCAGGACTGACCAGCTCGTGCTGCAAAATGAGAAGTTCAGCAAATGACTCATTACTATTTCCAGGTGATATGATGGCTCTGTATTGAGGTGCTGACGAAGTGCATAGGGGTTCATAGAAAAAGCAAATGGACGTCGCTTAGTGCAACAAAGTCTGGCATATGATATCATAACGTCTAGTTTGAGAATGGAGGTGGAGGCAGTCACTGCTGCCTTCCGCTGGCTTGACAATCAGCTGTACACACATGCCATGATTGTAACTGACTCACAGAGTATGTTGAGAAAGGTGGAGACAGGCATAGTCCGTGCAGAGTGGCAAGCATCACTTTAGAGGTCCTGGTAGATAGTGTCCTTTGGATATTTTCTCCAGCTCCTGCCAGTGGGTTGGGAAATGAGCAGACAGATAGACTGGCTGGTGGTGCACCACTTGGTGGTAAACTGATGTATGACAAGCTAGATGTGAGGGCCCTTTTGGAGCAAGTGAACAGTGCGTAGGCACAAACAGATCATTACAGTCTGAGGAAATTGCTCTGCGGGGAGTTCCCAGGGGATCTGGCCGATGCTCAACACTGAAGGGAAGGGCAAGACAAATATACAGACAGTTACTGGAAATGGACTCTCTTCCTGCTGATGTAGATTAGGAGAGAGTGCTAATGGGAGTGTCCCGAGTGCTGTGATGTCGATTCTTGATTCAACATTCAACACTCTGACACTAAATACAGTGCCAACAAAAATTATAGTGAAAAATATGTTATAACATTTCAGCCACACTGGCTTATTATATTTCTGCATGGTTTGCTGTTGTTGGTGTTTCAAAGCTGGACAAATACTATGCTACATACCTGCTCTACAATTGTTTCAGAATTCATTCTTCTCAGGGTCCGGTCATATGTTTGTCCATCAGCCAACATGAATTCAGTATGGGAGGATGACACAACCGACCGGGCACTGATGGTGGATTTTATTGCAGTTGAATCTGGATAGTCAATCTATGAGATACACACAAAAAACATAATAGACTCACTGCCTGGCATACAGACAAGTAAATACACAGATAGCCTGACTGTAATAGGTAAGGTGACAGGCAGATAGGTTGATATGTTGGTAATTTCTAGTAAGTGGATAAGGTAAATAGGTAGTTTTAGTAGGCAGGTAAATGGGCAGGCAGATAAAGGGTCTAGAAAACTGGGCAGGTGGGTAGATGAAGCAACAAGTAAACACGATTAGCTTAACCAATAATCATAAAGGCAGCTAAAAGGTAGGTTGGCCAGTAGATTGAGTGAGATACGTAGGCAGGTAGGTGGACTAAAAGTATGGTAGCTAAATTTTAATATACTAACTACTCCAACAGTCTCCATGAGGATATATTTCTACTGTTTTTCTAAAACTGCTTAAACATAAGATTTGGTGACAACAAAAACTACTGCCATTTTATTTCTTCTAGTCATTATCCTCCAATGCAGCACAGGTCATCAACCAACTCACACCAAGTTGTCCTATCCTTTGCAAATGTGTGCAGCTCACCTCCTTCCTAATCTTTTCACCTCAATTTGCTAATCCTATTCTCGCAATGACATGCTCTTCTTTATATAGAAGGAATTAACCAAACACACAAACTATGCTGCAATCACCCCACATTTTCTTCTTTTAATATAAAAGTAAAAATAAAGTAAAGTCGCGAGATGTGAACCAGCGTCACTGCACATGGTTATAAACCATAAGTGCTCTGCCACCAATATGGACAGCTGATAAGAATTGTCCGCCTGTGTCACCGTTTGCACGTAACTGTGTAGCTACATTTTTTTTCTCTTTTTTTTTCTTTTAATATGTTTCTATCTATCTATATACCCTCTTCATGTGGCTGTTGATACATAAGGCATTCACAGGTGATCTTCACTGGTGCTGTTTCGGCTGCTTTAAATACTTCTTAAACTTTTAAATACTGTTTAATCAATATAAACAGCTTTTCCTGGAAAGGGGGGAGGGGGGGGGGGGGTTGGCGGGGGTAGGGGGGAGACTGTTTTTACAGGAACCATGTTGCTCTGTGGGTAATTCTTTATTTTATTTTGAATTTTTGCTTGTATGTTCTTGACGAAATTCTTGGCATTATGACTAATATAGTCTTCACTTTTGATTTTTCGTGCAGTGGGAACATTACACCAGAATGTAAACAAAAACTTTAGAAAGAATCCCCCTCCCCCAACCCTTATCTAGGGGGATGTGCACACAGGCATACACACATTTGGAAGGGAAAAAGGGAATGAGAATATGGCATCTCATGAGGCATGTTGTGTAAGGATGTTTCTGAACTTCTCTTCATTCTTCTTAATTCTCTCTTTTACCTCTAAAATTATACTTAGTAATTTGTAACTGGGAAACAGTTTAAATTATAAAAACTTTATAAGTAAATTATTGATGGTATGAGTTAACTATGATTGATCATTTCATAAAATATTGATCACTGTTTAATCAGTAGTGCTTAGTAAGAGTTGATGAAGAGAAGATTTTTTGTTTGCATATTTTATTTGATATAGATTGTATAGCATTATATGTTGACATCTTATCAGTTACTTATGCTTAGTGTATTCAATGCTTGATTATTGCTATGGAGTGTGTCTGCATTATCTCAATAACATTCTCGTTATTGCTGTAGACCATTTTCCCTGTTACTCTTCTAGTCATCTTGTAACTTAAGACTTCTCTGGCTAGGTGATCAGGGTTTCACTTGGCTGGGAAATGAGTCATCCAGACAATATGGACGGTTGGTCCAAGTTCTTAAAAAACTCCAGGATTTATGGTGCACAACTCCCACACTCACAAAGTGAGTTGGCAAGAGGAAGCCATGGTCACACTAAAGGAGGGAGGAAGAGGGGAAACAGGGGTGGAGGCAACAGTCTGCATACAAATTATTCAGATCTTTAAAACACATGTGCACACACACAAAAACCCTAATTTTTCAACAAGATTAAAGTCCAAAAATTGACGAACGAACAGAGCTTTCGGCTGCAGTTTACAGCCGTTAAATGTGAAGAAGAAGATGAAGTAGAAGAAGAAGAAGAAGATGAAGAAAAAGAAGAAGAAGATGAAGAAAAAGAAGAAGAAGGAGGAGGAGGAGAATGATTCAGTTTATTCTCTGAAACAGGAAGAAAATATTAACATGCTGGACCAAGCTACGAGGAGAAGAGAAGAAGAAGAAGAAGAAGAAGAAGAAGAAGAAGAAGAAGAAGAAGAAGAAGAAGAAGAAGAAGAAGAAGAAGAAGAAGAAGAAGAAGAAGAAGAAGAGGAAGAAGTAGAATGGAGAAGGAGAAGAAGGAGGAGGAGGAAGAGGAGGACGAGGAAGAGGTTGAGGAGGAGAAGAAGAAGAGGATGAAGAAGAAGAAGAATTCAGGCTATTCACTAAAACAGGAAGAAAATAAACACAGGCTAGATCAAGCTATGCGAAGAAAAAGACTAGATGCAGAGATTGAGGGCGGGAGTGAGAAAGAAAGAGGGACAATGACTGATGAGTGAAAAATTGGGAAAGGGGTAGAGAGAGGTGAGAGAGAGTGAGACTGACTCACCACAATCATTTCCGAAGCCTCCAGCGCCAGACACTCGCTGGCCCTCCTCATACATCCGGGGCTGCGGCGTCCGAAGCTGAAATGAAAAGCACACACAAAAGGCCCAGTCAGTATCACAGCTATATCTGGACGAGGCAACCTTGCTGCCAGGGTCAGGCAAATATAAATATCCCTGCCTGCCTTTCTCTTCTCCCCTTCCCATCTTGTCGCGTGTCTCTTGGATATTTCTTTTGAGAAAGGGAAAGATGTGAGCGCGGCACAAGTAAGGTTCTATCTGGGGAGTGACAGGAAGCGATGGATTAGAATGCTGGAATATAGGCGGTTCTATTGTTGTGTCCTGTGGGCGGCGCGGCGAATTTGCTAATCCGAAAAAAGATAATGGGAGTACGTGGGTAATGAATAGTACTTAATCTCTCTCTCTCTTTCTCTCTCTCTCTCTCTCTCTCTCTCTCTCTCTCTCTCTCTCTCTCTCTCTCTCTCTCTCTCTCTCTCTCTCCACCCTCCAACAGTAGGGAAACAACTGTTGTATAACGGTACCACATCTCAAAGAACTAGTATTATAAATACCCATAAATGAAAGGAATCTGACTTTTTAATCTCCCAATGCAGCATAGGCCTTTAACCAACCAAATAGTCATATCCTGTGTATTTCCTTCAGCTCATCGGGTATTATGAATCCATGTTTGTAATTTTCTTCTTCGTGTGTGCTTTAGGTGGGGATCTCCGCGTTTATGAGGTTCTACGCACCGACACAAAGAAAACATTGGGACGGGAGCCTCATCACATTTACAAATTCTCTAGAGGACAGAGCGCTCCAGAAGCCTAAGCGTTGCTCTGGATAATAATAATAATAATAATAATAATAATAATAATAATAATAATAATAATAATAATAACAGTATGTGAAATAATGCGAAATGCATAAACAAAAACACTTTAACGAGGAGAATGGGGCGCTTACCCCATCCCACCCCTTCCACTATAGATAAATGTTCAAGATAGAACAGAGCACCCATCCCCACCCATCCCGCATCTGCGGGGAAGGCGAAAGGTGTCCGAACCGCCATGTTCTGGCACCTATGGAAAAGCGAGGACGCTTTAAAAAAAACAGAAACCCTAAAAAGAAAGTTGAGAGAGAGGCCATAGGTGCTGGAGTAAATTCCATCCATGATATCGAAGAGACTGCAAGGGCCAGTACAGTGTCGGCAAATAGACTGTCAGCCCCTGTGTGAAACAACAGGACAATGATGATGATGATCCCATGATTATGAAGTGACCTCTTGCCCTTTATGGGTCGGATAGTAGCATAGTTACTTTTTTGTTTCCGTTTATTTAAAATAAAAAGACTAAAATCATAACATATGAAAACAACACCCAGCTTAAGAATGGATGTAGGGGCGGTCAGTGCAGCTTTCTTCTGGTTAGAAGAAAAAAAAACCAGACACACGTACGCACACACACATACACACACCACACACTGCGATTGCAACTGACGCAGAAAGCATGCTGAGAAAGGTGAGGACAGGCATGCTTCATGCAGAGTTGCATGCTTCGCTTCGGAGGTCACGGGTTAGGAGCATTGCCTAGATCTTTTCTCCGGAGTATGCAGGTGTGTTGGGAAATGAACAGTGGGACAATTGGGTGGCCCTGCAGAATTTGGTAGAATACTGAAGCATGATAACGCAGAAGTGGTTACGGGGTGTGGGCGAACGTGTATAATTTGGAACAGCAATTTGATCACCACAGTCTAGTGAGAGTGATGCAGCTGTTAATGACGAGGGGATCTGGCTGATATTCGACGTTCGGAGGAAAGGCAAAACAGACGTATAATTAGAATGCTACTGGCACCATTAATACAGGAACTCTGCGTTGGCTGCTAAAGATGGAGACGGGGCGCTTATGGGAATGCTCCGAGAGCTGTGATGTCGGTTACTAAATCAACTCAACAACACAGTACAACTTGCGTCTTTTCAGCATCGCCCTGCCTGTGCCTCACAAGGCCTACATTCATCCCCTGCGAACTGATGACCCCATTCTGTTGTTTACTAAACAGGCATCTCAAATATCCTCTGTGACCCTACATTAGTGTGTCTACTGACGTCACTAGTGTCATCCGATTTTCCCGCTAGAAATCGATCACTAAGTACCAGTGTAAAGACACCCACTTTCTAGTCAGTCTTGAATTTTGTCACAGTAAACATTGGGTGTTTAGTATACTTAAGTAATTACTGAGATCTTTTTATGGTAGTGGTTTTCAACCTTTTTCACGTAGCCCCCCCCCCCCCCCCCCCCCCTTTTTCCAAACAGATGGCAAGACAGCCCCCGCCTGTTTTTCCTTAAAAAGATATTAAAGAAATCTTTATAAGGAAAAAAAAAAAACTATTAACAAGAACTCGGAGAAAAACATCAACATAAATTAAAGTGTCAAA